ATAAAACTTCGTCTATATTCTAATAAAAAGTTTCCCAGACCAAAGAGGTCACCTTAATACCAAAAAAAAAAAAAAAACTATTTGCATATATGCATTTTTGTGTAAAATAATTAAATTCTACTTTAGCTATAATAAACAAGTTACATGCTATAAACAACTAAATAAAATAATCAAAATATTAAAGATTTTTAAGATTTTAATAATAAATAATATTATAAAATCTTTACTAAAAATTTAAAAAATATTTGAATATTTAAAATAGAATAATTTATTTTCACCTGGGTTATTTTAACCCAAAAAATTCTAAAATATTTTGTCACATGCCTCACACTTCGTAAGTCACATGATCCACACTTTTAGCAAACTATAAAAATAGCTCTTAGTAAAATAAAACTTTGAACAAAGATATCGAGCACCTATATATAATTGCTTCTAGTAAAATTTAAGATTAGAGTTAGAAAATTAAGAATTGTTTTTTTATATAATATAATATAGAGCTAATATAAGGGCTCGATAGGGCCCGATTTCAGTTTTCATGAGATTTTTGGGGGTCCTGAACATTTTTACTTAGAGAACCTGATCCTGTTTACTTAATACGTTTTTGAGAAACAGGACCTATAGTATAAAACGCCATAGGCGTGTTTTAGTAAAAGTCAAGATATTTCTACAACCACTTCATAAATTTTGATAGATTTTTTTTTATTTGAATTCTATATCTATAGCATTTATTATAAAATGCATCTATGGTGGTTTTGCATCTATTATATGTTTTATATGTTTTTCCAATTTTTCCAAGTTTTGAATATAAAAATTTTTAACACAAAATTTTTATATTAGTGTTGGTATTTAAGGTTAGAGTTAAGATTTGAGAAGGGTTTTTAGTGGCATAGAGCAATATTACTTAGAACATCTTGCACTGATTAATTAGCCAATTTTTGAGATAATATATACATAGGTGTAAGACACCATAGGTGCGTTTTAGTAAAAGTCTATCTATAGAATACAAATAAATTTTTTTTATCAAATTTAATTAGATAGTTGTTGAAATAACTTTACTAAAAGCTATTTTTATAATTTGATTGGTGCATTACGAATTGTGAGTCACGTACTCACAAATATGTAGGTACTATATTTTTACAGTAATTAAAATAAAATTACAATAATTTCAATGTGTCAAGCTTATGATAAAATTTTTATAACAAGACATGATAAAAAATTATGATAATTAACTGGCTCACTTTTTCATAGCTACAAAGATAGTGAATAAGTTGTAATAAAATTTTACAATAAAAATTATCAAAATTATACTATACTAAGTAAACCAAATCAACTCAATCCTAACAACATGCTTTACATTGCTAGATAACAAGTATGTTTTGTAGCAAAATTATTCATAGTAATGATAATTTCAATGTAATTTAATTAACTATGTACTGTGGTCACTGAATACCCAGTTTGCTGATGATTTAGATGAAATTGCTTATAGCATTTGGTTTATTCCTAATCGCTTAATTTATGTGGCTTTCTCAATATTTTTCCTGCTACGGTTTGATTTCAATTTTGGAGGACCCGGCACTACTTTACCGCTTTTAGCCATCGTGGCCGGTTTATTTGCTATTCTTATTATCGTGGAGATTTTACTTTTCAAAAAAGCCAGCAGCAAATAAGTTTTGTAACTTTTTATTTGATTTCTGCAGATTCATAGAATCAAAAAAAAAGTTCATAGAATTTAGCTTAGTGGTTGACAAGATAACTTAGCACAAGTTTTAAAAATTTTTTAAATCTAAAATTTTATTAAACTAACATTTGAAATACATATATAATACTTAATTTTTTAAATAAAAATTATAAATTATTGGCGCAAGTAATATGAAATACTACTTATGTCTTAAAGATGTTTAACCTTTCTTCATTTATAATTGTTTCTTCGATATTATTTTGCAAATAATGACATAATAGCTTTTTAGGTGTAATAGGTTTGAATATACCAGTAGTTTTTCCTCCAATTTTTTTAATTAACTTCTTTAATAAAACTCTTCCATTAGAGTTTGAAAACACTATAAAAATAATTAATAAATTATCATCATGTATTTCTCTTAATTTTAATGCTGTATTTACAACCTTGTCTGTATTATTTTCATATATATCAATAAATGCCATACAATAAGGCGCCCGATTATATAATTCTTTATAGTATTTTGCAGTTTCTATTCCTTCTTCATATGTATCAAATAAGTTTATATTGAAGCAATTTTTAAAACAACTTGTTATTGCATCTCTTACACTTTTAAATGGATGAATCAATAATATACTCTTAATACTGTGATTAGTAAATCTCTCAAACATTATTTTTGAGTAATATTTTGAAGCTTTCTGTGTATATGCTGCATGCACTATTTCAACATTCCATGTAAACCAAAATTTGCTTCCTATTCCTAATTGACTTTCTACTCCTATTTCACCACCATGAATTTCTACTATCTGTTTACATGCTAATAATCCGAATCCTGTACCATCTTGTTGCAAAATCTTTGATTCATCAACTTTTAAATTGGTTTTCCAAATATTATTTATAAATTTAGAATTTACGCTATTATAAGTGTATACAATAAATTATTAATAATATATGCATTGATTAATACGTATAAAACATATTGATTTCTTAACTTACCCAGCACCAGTATCACTTAGTATAACTAGTAATTTTACAAAATTTTCATCTTTACTGCTTTTTGCACTTGGTGATTCTAATAAGACTTTCATTATTACTTCACCCTCTTCGGTAAATTTTATTCTTAATTAAAAATAATTCAAGAATTAATACGTATATATAAATTGAAATGTTTAATTATGAGAAAAAAGAAACATACGAGTTTGACAATAAATTCATTAATGTTAATCTTAGTCTATTAAAGAAATAAATTAATTAATTTTCTTTTTAATTTTTAAAGACAAATATAATATTACCTTTCAGGATCACTCTTTACATATTTTGGTAAAAGATCAGTATCATAATTTAAAGCTAATTCTATTTGCTTATTTCCAGCTCTTTCTCCAAATAATTCGATTGTATTTTCAAATAAATCTAATAAATCAAAAGCTTTATTTACTGAAGCATTTTTTTGCCCTTCTATATTTAACACATTAGGAATATTATTAATTGTTGATAATACTACTTCAGAAGCATTTAATATGATTTTGTTTAAGTCTTTTTGCTGAACAGTTAGTAATTCATCTTCAAAGGAAGAGCTAATGCTCGTAATCACTCCTAATGGTGTTCGCAATTCTAGATAAAAATTAATAATTACTATATAATATAATTAAGAAAAAAAATAGATATATTATACAATAAATATATTTTTACCATGAGACATATTAGCTAATATCATACTTTTAACATTATCAGCATCCTTAATGAATTTTACCCGTGATTCATTTATTAATTTCTCTTCTAATAATATCATATAGCTAATAGATAAATTTATTTGATTTGATATTTGTCGAAATAGTTCAATTTCTGGATCGGACCAATTAGTATTAGGTGATCTATGTGCCTTTATTCCCACCCAAAAACCATCACGTATTTTTAGGGTATTAGATAGCATAGAAACTTGTTTGGAAAAATCAACACAATATATACTGGGTGAAACTTCTATTTTAAATTCTTTAATATCTTCATAATCGGAAGATTTTGGTTGATTAATAGTTGTTTTTGACTGTTCAAGTTTCATATCACTTTTTGTAATTTTTTTTTTTAAAATATATTGTTATGCAAATTAAATTAATTTTACAACCCAATATACTGTAATGCAATGCTACATACCTTATTACCCTTGAATATTCTGATAATGCAATTATTGTATAGTTCCTAAGTTCCGAAAGATCATACGAAATAGCAAATACTCTATCACATGATAATATTTGATGAATATCTTTAACAGCTTCTGAAAGTGTTTTTTTTAAGTCCAATCCAGAAAGGATATTACATGAAATTGAAATCAATAACTGTTTCATTTCTTCCTGTTTACATTGCTGAGATATTAATTGATGGCGAAGTTGTGAAAGCTTAATATTAGTGTGCATACGGGTAATTAATTCTCGAGAATTAAATGGCTTTACTAAGTAATCATCTGCACCATAATCTAACCCTAAAAATAGCGTGTTAAAATTGAATGTAAAATTGTCTAAAAAAATAATTATTTAAGAATAAACAATACCGAAATATTCATCAGCCCTTGCAGTTAATAATATGATCGGGATTAGTCGCGTTGCCACATTAGATCTTAGCATATTTAATAGTTCATATCCATTTATATTTGGCAATACGACATCTATCATTTTGATTAATAAAATTAATACATTTCTATCATATAATTTAAGCATAAAATAATTTACTTACCGCTAAGGATTAAATCCGGTAATTCATTTGATTTTTTTAAAAACAGAATAGCTTCATATCCATCACAAGCACAATAAACTTCAAATTCTTTTCCTAATAACCCTTCTAAATAATTTCTAAAACGATAAATTAAATAATTAGAATTATAATTAAATTTATATTTGGCAATTTATAAATTTGAATTTGATCAACAAAATCATTACCTCATTTCGACATTATCCTCAACAAGTAAAATTTTATGCTTTTTAGTCATATTCGCTGATATTTTATCAATATCTACATCATCATTAACATCTATTAATTTTGGATTAAAAATAAAATTTTTATCTGTAAGTTCATTACTTTGAATCCATTGCAAAGTTTCCTCTAAATATAGTTGTTTTTTTGAATATAATTGACGTTCTGAGTTTATTTCACTATTTTTTTCATTAATGTAGACTTGGTTTTTCGGTAAGTGTTTAAACCCCGTTAGAAATCGACACTTGAATGTTGTCCCCTGACCAACTTTTGAAGCTACAGTAATTTCTCCACCATGGTATGTAATAAGCTCTTTTACAAGAGCAAGACCGATTCCAGTGCCTTCATAACTCCGCGAATGTTGAGATTTTGACCGATAAAATCGCTGAAATAGGTTTAAAAGATCGCTTTCTGAAATGCCAATGCCTAATTTAATTTATGATGAAAATGTAATGCATGAATAAATAGTGTTATGGTAAACTTTAGAGATGGGATCAGTCTGTTTCGGTTGTTTATTGGTCGACAATTTTGTTATTTTCAGTTATTGTTGGTGATTTTCAATGTACGCACAATAGTAGTCTGAAAGTCTCTGACCAGCCACGGTTATAACTAGGGATTGGTTCGGTCAGGTTATAACTGGCTAGCTGACGTAGTCGATGATAATCAACTAGATCGGCTTAGCTGACCGGCTAGCCGATACTAAATTTTTTTATTTCCTGGCTGATAAACCATAATTATTACTTAATTCGTCATGAAATGCGCAAATTACAGAATTATTGCAAGAAATACCCTAGCTACACAACACAGCAGATTCTCGATTTTGATTGATTAAGAGTTATTCAGATACTCAAATTTTTAAAAATGAAATCGCAGCCGCCTATTAAGTAAAAAATATTCATAGACTAATTTACTATTGTATAGAGCCATTTCCCTAAAAATTTCTATTTTTTGTAATAAAAAAGTTAAAACATTAATTCTGGCCAAATTTTGTATAATGCGGGCAACCAAAATCGAGAATTTTACCGTAGCAAAATTGGTGCAATAGCTAAGGTATATGGTTGTTTGAGAAATCTTCGTTTAAAGTAAAAAAAAAAAAATTTACCGATTTTTTTGTAAAATTTGAATGTTTTTTTAAAAGTTTAGTAAAAATTTCTCAACAACCATCTATCAAATTTGACAAAATTTTTTTATTTTATTTTATTATACGAAAGTTCAAAATTGAAATAAAATTTTTTTACAAAGTCTAATCAAGTAGTTCTGTGGTTACAGAGATATCCTCATCTTGGACCAATCTACGTTATCAAACCAATCTAATTCTGGCAAATTTGCAGATCGTTTGGCCTTTTGAGGACGAGTTTAAAATTTGTTAATCTCAATTAGGCCAAATGATCTACAAATTTGACTATAATTAGATTGTTTTGAAAATGTGGTTCAATATTTTGATAAAATTTTTTTTCGCCATGGCTAGGGTACTATAATGTTGTCCAAATGTATAGTGTATAAAAAGATAATGTATAGTTATTGTATGTGTAGCAGACAATAACTCGAATTATCCGGCACCTTACTATGATCGTACCAACAGAATAACTCGAGCCATTCTGTTAGTTCGGTCGTCGTAAGATACCGTTATTGAATGCTACTCAGGCAATAACTTGTTTATCTGGCAGTGAATTTAATATGTCATTTCTGGGCCCCTTCGGGGCCCAGAAGCTGACATATTAAATTTAACAGCCAGATAATGAAATTATTTTCCAAATAATTTCCGTTATTGGCTGCTCCGCATCCAATAACTCTATATTATTTGTAAAATAATTCATTAGAGTTATTGGCTAGCGTACCGTAAAATCTCGAAATAGCGGGCATGGGCGTTATTTCGAAACTGGCCCGAATTAAGCTTAATTCGGGCCAAGTTTCAAAATAACGCCCATGCCCGCTATTTCGAGATTTTACGGGCATACAATAACGATTTTATCCGATGGCTTTACGACGATTGTGCTTCTAAATGACTCGAGTTTTGGTAGTGATTACATAAACTGCCAAATAACGAAGTTATTTGGCAGTTGACGCATCACTGCCAATTATTTTGGCAGCACAATCATAGTAAGCTATCGGATAATTATTTGTACCCGTTTATATGTTTGATAAGAAATTGGTCTATAATTATTAGACTATAGCCGGTTACGAGTCGATAGTCAATAATAGCTGACCAATAACTGACCGTAGCTGACCGAGCCCATCCTTAGTTATAACCGATTACGTATAGTCAGTGACTAACCGGTTAGTCACCTAACGAGCCCATCCCTAGTAAACTTAATACAAATTATTACAGACCTGTATCTGACACTTCAAGAATTATTGTATTTCTTTCATTTTTGTGTTCAATATATAAGCTAACTTTAATTTGTCCACTCCAAGTGTTCTTAAATGCATTTGAACCTTTAAAAATGTAGAAATATTAGTATAATAATTTCTGCTCTTTTATACAAAGGTGTTGAGCATAAAATGCGTACAAAGATTGTAAACAATTGTTTCGAACATGTCATGGTCCAAATAAACGTCATTTCCCAAGCCTTGCTTAAAATTTTCAGGATCTGGAATGTCAATAATATAATCTAAACCTAATTTTTCGGCCGTACTTTGAAAATTAGAAGCTAATTCTTGAGTAAATCTTGTTATATCTGTTTCACGATAGTGTGCTTCTAGTCGACCATTTTCAATATTTGAAAACTGCAAAAAATAAAAAAAATATATAAATGCAGTTTTGAAATCTAATACAATAGTGATTTATATGGTTTATTAAAGGTCAGAATATAACTCACTTGAAACAAATTATTAACTAACTTGAGTAATCTATGAGTGTTACGCTGAATAACTTGAAGGTGTGATTGCATAATTGCCTCTTGCGTACATGAATTAATAGCCTCATCAAGTGGTGAAAGTATTAATGTTAATGGGGCTATATAAATGATGAGATAAAATTAAGAATGTAGTATTTAAAGAGTTATAACATATATATTATTATAATTGCACAGTACTTAGCAATTCGTGACTAATATTTTGGAAAAATGCGAGTTTTTGATGATTTAAATTGGCTAACATTTCTACTTGCTTTCTTTCTTTTTCTTTTATATTGCCATTTGCTAGTGCTGTGCTAACATAATTCACAACCGACTAAATAAATATATAATATAAATATATATTATGAGAATATTTCCAAATTTACAAATATAAAATAAATTAAGCCACTTACTCGTAAAAAGTTTATATAATCATCATTAAGTTCACAAAGTGGATTAATACCACAAATTAATACAATAGATAAAATTAGTTCACCATCGCATGAAATTTTAATTGGAAATAACATCGCTTGAGAATTGTCTTTCAAAAGGACTTTTATAACTTTATCTTCTTTCACTACAAGATGGATTGGCCAAGATTTACATTTTAAAAATGAATGTTTTGTATTTGATCGTTTTACTTCTATATATACATCATAATTTTCATTTGGGGTTTCCATTAGGTTAATTGTTTTAGGTGTTTCTAGTAAATTATCGGGTATAATCCAATCCTTATTGTATAAATCTTCATCCTTGTGGTTAAAAGTAGTGGATATTAGACGAGCAGCACGAGGTTGAGAACCTGATCTTAATTTATTGTTATCGATAAGATAAATTAATGCAAAAGGAATGTCTTGATCATTTTCAACAAATGATGTCATTATACTGTGACAAGCACTTTCTAAAGATTGAGCGCCTTTAAAAATAATATAATTGAGATGAATTAATACGTAATTGATTTATTAGCAAATGAAAATAGTCACTAACCATTAACGCAATTTGCCAAATCACTAAGGGCTTTTATTCTTCTTTTAGCTAAAACTTTATGAGTCGTATTAACGCCGACATTCAATATAGCCCAAAATGTTCCATCTTCTTTAAAAATTGGGCTTTGTGAATTACTAGTATAAAATTCCTTTTTGTAGTTATCATTATACTGTATAAAGCGGCAATCTTTCTCAAATACACCTTTTCCAGTCGACTTAATTCTTGGGTTTAAGTATAATGAATAGAAAGTAAAATGCTTGCACTTTGACAATAATAGACAGGAGATATTTGCACGCTTACTTTTCATATGTTGTCTTAACATAATCAAAATGCTCAGGATAACTTTCACTAAATGGTCTTCCAAATGCTAAACCCATCTTTTTTAATTTCTTTATTAAAAGTAAAAATATACTCAAAATTATATACACAGTATAACTAACCAGATGGATGTTGCGATTTATTCATATATTGTACATGCGCTATACAAATATGCGTAATTAGCAATTTAAGGTATAAATAATGTTGAAAAAGTAGTAAACTAAACACTTACGTACCTTGATTATAAATATAAATAAGATCAGGGCCGCAGTAAATTTTGGTATCAAACTTTGAATGGAAACAGAGATCCTAATAAATTTATGGAGTAAATTTATAGTAAATTTACATTAACTGCTGTTAACTTTTATGTATTAAAATTTAAAAATTATAGAGTACCACAATGTTTTTAAATGAAGGCTCCCACGAATCTTGAGGGCCAAGATAAGTTGAAGACCAATCATGACCATTTAGCAAATCTACTACTTTTATTTCCTCCCGCTTGCCATCATCGTTGTTCGTCGACATAGGAATTTCTGTATGAAACTAATTACTATAAATTAAAAATGTTTTATAAACGTGGTCAAACAAATACGAAGAAGAAAACCGTGTTGTATACTTTATATAAGTATATAATACGTTAGTGATGTTAAAATGGGATCCGCCTTACTTCACCGACAATCATTTCACCGACAGCTCACTTAGCCGACATCACACCGAGTGACAATTTTCTAAAATGTGTACTGGCAACTAATAAAACGCTAATCCTAACACTATGTGATGTCGGCTAAGTGAACTTTCTGTGAAATGATTGTCGGCGAAGTGAGCAGCACCGGTTAAAGGATGATCCAATGATTGATCTTGATTCGGTTTATAAACCGAGATTTGCATAGAAATAATTGGTTAGATCGGACCATCTCATGTATACGTATCGTATTATATAATTTGCACGGGTAATACAAACCTCTAAAAAGGAAATGACCAATCAGAGAACACAAGTTTCGGGTATTCTGGATCAGCCTGACCCGACATAAGAAAAGAAAGCGAAAGTACTCAAAAACTAGTGTTTAAACCGACCTTTGTGGACTAATAAAAAATAGCGGTGATGAAATTTTGCATATAAGGAACTTCAATTTATCGCAAAGCTCGCAACACTGACGTCTCAAACCTTAACTTCTATTTTAATGCACTTAGTTTATTTACAAAATTTGTTTCTCCTTTTTTGGTTTGTGTTACCCGCGTAAATAAGTAAATCGATTATGTAATTGCATATTAGATTTCATTATGATTATGTAAAGTGACGCAAGCTGAAAAAGGAAAAATTCCTCATGTGGGTAACATTAAGTAATCTGTGTGCCGTCTATAGGGATGTTAAAAAGTCTGGTCCGGTCCGACTTGACTCCATGGAGTCGAGTTTTAATTTAGACTCGGTCCCGAGTCAGACTTGGGACCGAGTCCTGTAGTCACATGCAATATTAGATATCACAGGATCATAAAATTAATCCACTTTCTGCTATAAGAATGAACAATTATAATTTTATTGTTCAATATACATTATAAATAATGATAATAATTTGTTATATTATCTATTCTAAAATTCCCGCTTCTATCTAATTTTTAAGCACAATGAAGCTCTAGTCATTTATTATAGAAGACAATTTCTTGTAATATTAATAGTATGTTTGTGATAGAAAAAGACATGTTTGCATAGAATGCTCATGCCTTGAAGTATATAATAAAATGCTATAATAGAAGCTTTGGTTGGAAATTGGGAATAATTAATTATTCACCATGCTAGTAGATCCATGTCTGGCTCTGAAAGTAATATGATATAGGTAGCTAATTCTTTTGTTAAATCTTTTATTGTTTCATTTTCATTTTTATTTAATTTAATTAGTTTATAAAAACCGTCTAATGAACTTTTTTGTTTAGGTAATATAGTCACTTCATCAATATAATGTGTTGAATATAAAATTATCAACTGGCTTATAGTTAACTAGCAACAACTCTAGCATTACTCCAAAAAAATGTAGAAAGATCATGTTATACAAAACAGATCTAAATTACAACTTGTAAGTTATTTAAAACTTCTAATAATGATTCCTTAATAACTACTTAATTTAATTTAATAAAAATTTTTTAGGTTTAATTTTATAATAAAGTAGAATTAAAATAAAAGAAAGTTCATTAAATTTGGTTGGTAGTTAATGAGAAAACATTATGAAAATTTTTTAAAAAAACTAAAAATCTTGAAAAACTAAAATTGGTAAAATTTTCTTTGAACTTTAAATAATATTTTCTCTAATATTAATTCTGTGATATATGGAATTAAAATAAATAAATTTGGGTAAATTAAATAGCAGATTGTTGAAAAATTTTTATTAAAAACTAAAAAATAGGTTGGCTTCAGTATTATTTAATAGGTGTCTAAACTTTAAACAAAGATTTCTTGGTGCTTTTCTAATCAAATTTGTATTTTAATTTCAATGAGTATATAGAATTAAAATAAAAACAAATTGATTAAATTTGACTAGTTAAATGCTATATAAGCTTTGTTAAAGTTTAGATAATTATAAAAAATAAGCTGTAGCCAACTTATTTTTAGCTTTAATATAAATTTCTTGAAAATCTGCTATTCAAATTTGGCTGATTTTTTTTTTTTTTAATTCTATATACTCACAATATTAAAATAAAAAAAATTTCATCAAAATTGAACAATTAGTTATTGAGAAATCATTATTTAAATTTTAAATAAAAAAATTTAATTGATGATTACTTAACAACCAACTATCTAAATTTAATAAATTTTTTTTATTTTAATTCTAGGAGTTTGTTGAAGTAAATAAAAAATTTTATCAAATTTAGATTATTGGTTGTCAAGAAATATTAATTAAAAGCTAAAAAAAAATTAACTAGAGTTTTTTTTATAGGTATCTAAAATTTGAACAAAGATTCTTTGGTATTTACTTGTCATATTTGATCAATTTTTTTTATTTTAATTCTATATACTTATTGAAAATTAAAATAAAAAATTGATCAAGTAAGTGTTAAATAATTTTTGCTCAAAGTTTAGATGCCTATAAAAAAGAAGCTATAACTAAATTTTTAATAAATATTTCTTATAACCTATTATTTAATTTAACTAAATTTATTTATTTTAATTTAATATATGACAGAATTAAAATAAAAAAAAATTAAAACTCCAATTTGCAGCTTCCTTAAGAAATTTATGCATACTTTTTACAAAGTTAAATAGTTATTTATGAATAACTTCAAATATATAATTCACTCAGGAAGGCTAGTAAAACAGAGCTGAAAATCTTTAGAAGCTTGTGAAATAAAGAAAAAAAAGAAAAAAGAAGGTCTTTTAAAACAAACAAAAAATAGAATTTCAGACTTAAAAGCTTAAACAGTTTGCTTCTGACACTCTATATCTGTAAAAAAATCAAAAAGATCTATACCTATTAGCTTTTTTAAAAAATGCAAAAAAGAAGAAGAAGACTTTGATCATCTTGTTACTTGCAAAGTTAATGAAGACAGGTGGCAAAACAAAGAGCAAGCAATTGCAAAAAAAATTTGAGTTAACTTAGATATATATACAAAGAAAAAGCTTTCTCTAAACACTCTTTACCAAGTTCTTGCAGGTGAAGGAAAAACAGCACAAATGCAGAAAAAAAGTAAAATTGCAAAGGGTTAATCAAAGCAAAACTATTAATATTACTTAGATTAATAGATATCTTAAGCAAAATTTCTGAAGCAATAATTCTTGATTGGTAGAACAAATAGCATATATTCTTCTAAGAAACAATTTGGCTTCAAAAATATAATGAAGTAGCATTCTAAAAAAAGAAATTACAAATAGACTCTAGAAAAAAAGAAAAAAAGATTTGCTTTAATAAGTCCCAAATCAAGAAGTGTATATAGAATAAGTCTAGAAGATCCACTCTTAATAGAAAAAAAAAAATAAATCAATTTGGTAAGACAATTATAAATATAGACTAAATATAGTAATAGAAGAGATTAATAATTAGATTTGGACCAGTAAATAGTCCAAGTAGAATAAAAATTAATAAATTATAACAGGTCATAGATCCTAGCTAATGAAATATGAATTTGTTATTTAAGATAGATAAAGAAAAAGTAGCAAAGCTGATTCTACTTTGGCAGGGCATATATAAATACCAATAGGCAACTAGGTGAGCCACACTTTAGTTTAAAAAATAGCATAGCTATAAATAGAGATCACATTTTGTCAAAAATATAAAATCTATATTAAAAATAAAGTTGTGTCATGATTGTCAAAAAAAAAATAATAATAAAAAAATTATTAAATTTGTATATTTGGTAATTAAAAAAATATCATTTAAAGTTCAAAAAATTTTATACAATTTAGTTTTTTTTTTAAACTTTGTGATGATTTTTTGACAATTACTAAACCAAATTTATTATTATTATTATTTTTGTATTAAGGAGTCCTCTTAAGTCTAGTGAGATTTTATTAGAAGTTTAGTTTTAGTTACAGTAAAACTACATCAAGCCACACATGCATTTTTGGTACCTAATTTAAGTAGTTCATTCAAAGGTTTATACTATCTGCTATATCTATAATTCAAACTATGAGGTTATTTATTTAAATTCTCTAACTGTAATCTAATTCCAAGCCAATGAGAACTTCTAACCTAATATAGCTAAGCTTTTTGTACCAAAGCTAGACTTAAATATACTTATATATATATAATAGAAATAGTTTTTAGGGTTAATTGAAATCTATTAAATGTTTTTAATAAAATTTTTAAAAAATTAATTATACACCTTTTGACACCAAATTCAGACAAAATGACATTTAATTTCAAACAAAATAACATTTAATTTTAGACAAAATGACATTTAATTTCATATAAAATAATATTTAATTTTATACAAAATAATATTTAATTTCATACAAAGTAATATTTAAATTTATACAAGTTGATATTTAAATTCATATTCAAATTTGTACAAAATAACAATTAAAATAAGATTGATTAAATCATGATATATTTTGATCTAGTAATCCAGTTTGGAAGATTTTGGTAGCATTCAAATTGCCTCATTAAGAGGATTCGAATGGTACTAAAATTATTAAAATTAGATTACTAAATTATAAAATATCACAATTTAATTAACTTTATTTTAATTATTATTTTGTACAAATTTAAATATCAATTTGTATGAATTTAAATATCAACTTGCATGAATTTAAATATTACTTTGTATAAAATTAAATGTTATTTTGTATAAAATTAAATGTCATTTTGTATGAAATTAAATGTTATTTTGTTTGAAATTAAATGTCATTTTGTTTGAATTTGGCGTCAAAGGTGTAAAAATTCTAAAAATTTGATTTGTGGCTTAGGTTGATATTAAGTTGATATTAATGAGGGTGACCTGTATTTACTTGTTCAGAAACAATGGTCTGTATAGTAAGTTGCATCAATTCCTGATTAAATCAAGATAAAATTATCATTATAGAAAAATGATTTTATTCA